CTGCCAGAGGTCAGCCAGGGACTGAAAGGGATAAAACCTGGGCCAGCTGCTGGAGTTTAAAGATGCTAAAACCACTTTGGCCAGGAGGGGGCCCCAGATGTCACTCAAATTTGCACATCTCTGGGTAATAGTCCAGCTAGACCTCACTTTACATAATAGTTATCCACCATGCTTAGGGCATGGAAGGGACCAGAAAGATCACCAGAGACCCAGATATGGGAATTGACTTCAAGGCTGGGTGTGGTTGAGCAGGACTAGAACCCCAGGCTGGGTAAGTCCTGCTCCAAAACTGTTCAGATTTTCTCAGACATCATTTTCATCAGCAGCATCTACAAATATCTGTTGAGATTTCAGAAATTTTAAAAGACAACCATTTATTAAATATATGTGTATATATATGTATATATATAGATATATATACACACACACATATCATATTTCACCATGTATAAGACACACCCTTTTTCAAAAAATTTAGGGTCTAAAAACTGGGTGCGTCTTATACAGTGGTTGTATGAGTGCAAAAACAAGCGCGAAAAAAGGGGGAAATTCAAGTAAAAAAAATTTACAATCACTGTATAAAAGCACCCAGTTTTTAGACCCCAAATTTTTCAAAGAAGGGTGCATCTTATACATGGGGAAATACGGTATGTATGTATATATATATATATGTGTATATATATATATATATATATATATACACACACACATATATATATATATAGACTGGGATATATATATATATCTCCCAGTGATGGGTGTGCTGGGTGGGGTGTATGTGGCAGGTGGCCAAGGTGCTAGGCAGTGTGGATGGGGAGGGAAAGGGGTGCTGCCAGAGTCTAGGTTCACATTCCTCAAGATCCTCACTGGCTTCTTACTGGTTTAGAAGGTACAACCTAGGCACAATAAAGTTAAAGAATGATGAAAGATGTAAATAAGGGTTCAATACAGTAGCGGCTGAGCTGTCATAAGGCAATGTATGATGAGTAATCAAATGAATGATTAGCAATTGCCATAAACTTTCTGAGGAGGGCGAGAGAATGATACTGTGCCTTTGTTTGGAGCTTACTGACTTCAATGCTTTCCTGTATGCTGTGTTCTTCAGGTGGCCGCGAAGACTACATGGGAGAGAAGGCAGGTGGGCTCTTCTTAGGGGGAACGGATAGCTAATAGGATCTGCATGTGCGCTGACCCTCCCCTGGAGACACACACGGCCCTTGAGGACCATTCTGCCTTGATGGGAGTGTGTGATGCTTGTGTGAATGGAGAATTGGAACCAGGGGCCCTGAGTTCAAGGGGGAGCAACGTTCTGGGCCTGCTTGTGTTTGTAAATGCACTAAGTTGCTATTTAAATGAACTCTTCCTGCCTGTTGATAGGCTCATAAGCGTGGTGGAGAAGAGAGACGGCCAGTCTGGAATGACCTCATTGTGTGGCATCAAGCAACTCGCTTAGTTTCTCTCAGCCTCAGTTTGCTTCTCTGGAGAATTAGGGGAATAAATAACCTCTCTGGTCTCTTCCAGTTGGAAAAGTCTTTGGTCCTAAGCATTCTATAATTAGGTTTTTGAAAAAATCAGATTTTCAGGTATCAGTCAGCTTGCATCTTTATTTTGGGTCCTCTGTCCCTTACTTATCCTAAATTTGTTTTGGGTATTTTTATGATTATATTTTCTCATTTGAATTCACACAAGGTCCCTGGATTGGAGGCATCCCCATTTCATAAATGAAGGTGGCGAAATAGGGGTTTACCCAAGCCTCTCCAGCACTACTAACTTCTTGAGCAAATGTTCTCAACACGGACCACCCAGTGTACCTACTATGTGCCAAACATGCTGGGATACTGAATAAATGAGATGCAGTCCGGTCTCCACGGAGCCCTCACCCAGTCTCAATCCTTTCTAGGGAGTGCCAGGCACACATGAGGCACTTAGGAAATGTGTTTTGAACAGCAAAGAAGGCTTAAGGCACTGTTGGGAAAGAAAGAGGTTGAAATGTACCCAGGGAAGAAGGGAGAGCCTGTACCATTTTCTACTTAAAGTCTCTTGGGCATATGGCCCCAGAAGGGAAAGGAGATTTTCTTCTCACCGGTATAAATAACTTCTGCCCAACTAATCCCTAGAGATCTTGGCACCATGAGGTTGGGGAAGGGCCTGGCACTCAGTTGTTCTCTCCACCTGATGTAATTTGGGAGCCCAGGGAGGGTTGGAAGCACTCAAGTTGTGCTTCAAGACCCTGAATTTAGGAGATATCAGGTTGTCTGCAGTTTCTTAGCCTAGGAGAAGGCCATCACCTTGTATGTGAACACTGAGTCACCAAGACAGCAGGGGAGCATGGAGCCTCTCTCCTCTAGATCTCTTGAGCTGAGAGTCATGCTCAGGTCCTGATCAGAAGTGGGAGGGTGAGTAGGAAACCACTGGTGCCTCTTAGATGAGCCGACTGCTCTGACTCAAAGGGACCCACAGCAAGCCAGCCCCGCTCCTCTTCTTAAATGGTCCCTCCAACAGCTAACACCAGCTCCCCTCACCATGGGCTTCTCAGGCTTAATTAGTGCTTCCGGAATGCTTTGGGTCCACCGATGAAAAGTGGTTGAGTGCCGTTATGAATCCTTTTACTCTGAACCCATAGGCCATCTTGATTCATCATCAGAGGCTCTCCCAGGTTCCCACAGCTGAGTCCTACTGTTGAGGGGAGCTCGTGCTGAGGGCCTATCCTGGGTCTACCCCCTACCCCAGCAGGCTTTGCTCAGGGTATGATGCCTTGACGACTCCTTTTCCCATCTCTGAGCATCACTGCCAGAAGCCCTGTGCCTAGTGTCAAGGTCCCTCACAGTCTGGACCCCCCACACCCATCCATCCTTATTATTTCCCTCTCCTATGCCTCACCCCCTTCCTTGACGCTTCCCCACACGGACACTTTCCTCCTGGCCCTCTGCCTGTCTCCAGCTGGTTCAGCCTTCAGGTTACATATGTCACGTCTCCTCATTCCACCTTTTCTTCTCCCCCTGATCATGTGACAGATGCTTGTTGTGACTATCACTGTATATAAGGTACTGTGTGCTTGGCTCTATGAGGAGTGCAAAGAAGTATATGATAACAGCCAGTCCCTGTGCATGAGGTGCTTTCAGAGGAAATGAAGTATGTTATGGACAAATACACACATGTCCAAACAGCTCAGGGCCAGTGCTGCTGGTTTGGAAGAGTTCAGAGGAGGCAGAGTATTCCAAAGTGCTCTGAAGTCTGCCCATCCTCCAGGCCCAGCACAGGGACAGCCTTCCTCCATGAAGCCCTCCTGAATTACTCTATTTTCTTGAGTCCTAATGCACATTTTATTAGATACAGGCTTACTGGTATACCTGTTTCTCAATTGGATTTCCTCCTCTCTGAGGGAAGGGACAAGCCTCTGTCAATTGGATTGTTTTCAGTTCCACAAACATTAATTGAACTCTTTCACTCTCCTGTCTCTCAGTGCCTTGTAAATGAGCATAGTATAGGTGCTCAATCAATCCTGAAATTCCAGAATTTTAGAGAAGAAATTTATAAAAATTTTAAATGTCAAAAGCTATACATGCTAATTATGAAAAACAAACTCAAAATGTCTCCATAGGAGTAACTACTGCTTAGAGTTTGGAGTGTATGTAAGAAGTAATCTTAAAAGACCATCTAGTTCAGCACCCACATTTTACAATGAGAACATTAAGGTGACTCTAATGCCTATGGCATTGAGTTAAGTGATTTGCTTAAAGTTAAACATTGAGATAGTGGCATCGCTTGGTGTTCTAGCATCCTTCCCCAAGAAGGGTGGAATAATAGTGGGGTACCCTGTACCGAGCAAATGTGTAAATGTAGTCTTAGCTTGGTACATGGGTTCTGACAGTGCAGAGAAGTGAATATTAATACAATAAGGTCATAAAACTCTTCAACCCCATTTCAGATGTTTCTCCTTGGTCCATAGTCACAAAGCTTTATTGTGATTGTGAAGCAATAGGATTCATTATGAAAACACTGTCTCTTTAAATATATTTGAAACTAGAATGGAAAAAAATGTTCAAATAGATGGGTGGGGGGGTGGGAAGTAAATTGAATTAAATAGTAATTGTGCGCTAAATCCTGGGACAGACAAGTGGCTTGGAAAGTCAGTTTTCCAGACCAGAGGGAGAGGTGGTGAGAAAGCCAGAGCTTGGGGCCCACGATGAGTTGGCCCCCAACCCGGTGGATTTTCCCACCATTGTAAGCTCCATTCCCTCCTCCCTGGCCTAGGGAGAGTCCCAGGGGAGCTCCAGGCTTAAGGCAGTGGTGTTATGTAGTCTTGTAACCTCGCTGGTAAATGATGTCACAGGTTAGTTACACAGGCCCAGATCGATGGACGGACGATTCAGGCAGCGGATCGATCACATTTCCGGGGAGAATTTACCCTTTGTGACCCGCAGGAGGGCAGGTGATTTATCAAAAGAGGCTCTGGCTTGAAGGGTTTAATGCCAGCCCCTTCCCTAGTCCCGTCTCCTCCGGGGGGGTGGGGGGGGGGCTGGGGATGGTGGTGTATATGCTGGGTGGTAACAGCAGGGTAATAAACTACTTTTCATTAAAGAGATCTGGAGGATAGGGGTAAGAGGGGCACATAAAGGTGGGGACAAAAGGGCACAAATCCGCTCCAAGACGGAGAGCCAGGGTGGGGGCGAGTTGGCTTCACTTCTCCCCGCCTCAGAGCCACCCTGAGTTTCTGTGCCCGGCGAAGTAGCCCAGGGCCGCGCCAGGCCGCGGGCTGCGCTCTCGGCGCGGTGGGGGCGCGCTGGCCCGCCCTGGCCTCTCCGGCCCTGCTGCAGCCCCCTCCCCGTCGCCCGAGCCCCTCCCCCGGGCCTGGAGCCCCTCCCCGCACGCTTCCCCTCTCTCCTCTCCCCTCCCTTCCCTTCCCTTCCTAGCCTGCCCGGCTCTGCCTCCTCCTCCTCCTCCTGCTGCGCCCACAGTCTCCGCCAGTGCCGAGCCCCCCGGAGCCGGAGTGCGGCGAAGGGGTGCCGCCCGCCCCTCCCCAGCGCGCTGACAGCAGGCTCCGGGGTCCCCGCCCCGTCCCCTCGCCGGCGGGACACACCCCCGCCCCTCCTCTGCTCCGCCAGTTCCCGCCGGACCCACCGGGCGGCGGAGAGAGCGGGCGAGCGAGCCGAAGAGCGGCAGCCGCGGCGGCGCGGAAGGGAAGGGGCGCGCGGCAGGCCCACGGGGAGCCGCCCGGGGTGCACGGAGCCCGCGTGCCCTCCGAGACCGTCCCCGCCCTGGGGCCGTACCTGTGGGCGCCGGGATCCCGGGCAGCGGCGCGCCGGGCCGGAGTGGCGGGTGGCCCCGGGGACCCGGGAAGCGGGAGAAGGAGCCAGAGCCCGGCCGGGATGAGAAGGTGACGCCGCCGGGGGGCGCCACTCGCTTTGTGGGGGAAGATGCTCGCCTACTGCGTGCAAGATGCCACCGTGGTGGACGTGGAGAAGCGAAGGAACCCCTCCAAGCACTATGTGAGTACGGATCCAAACGACCCTGCGAGGCGGCTGGCTAGGGACCCCTGGGAGGGCCCCCGGGTGGACCGTCGCCCTTCCCCGCTGTTAAGTCCCGGAGCTGAGTGTCCACAGGGCAGCCCTCGCTGTGGAGTTTCCTCGCAGGTCTGTGATCTCCAGGGAAGCCTTTTCTATCCTTCCTCCACTCACAGCCTCCCCCCTTCCCCCACCCCCGCCCCGTTTTCTTTTTTTGGCTTTGGAATTGGCAAGTGGCTGCCCTTGTCTGTTACAACGGTGAAGTCATCTGTCCGCCTGAGCGTTGATGGATGGCAGGGGGAGCGTTCGTCAAACCCTTGCTGAGAAGCCCCGTTGGGAAAGAGCATCTTCCCGGCCCTCCCGGGGGGCTCGGGTCGCTCCCGCTCACACAGACCAGGACGATTTCTGAGGCTGTCCCTGGGGAAGGAAGCTTCGCGCTCTCCTTCCACGTTCGCAATGGCCTCTGCCTCCCTAGGCCTGGGTCTGGGGGCAAAGGGAAGCTGCCGCACCCCCTGCCCCACCTCCACCCTCAGCCCTGAGCTTTGATTTCCTTCTTAAAGTCATTGTGTCCGTCGGTGTGAGGAGAACTGTGGCTTTTCCTTTTATCCCTTCTCTGGACGTGACCCTTAACCGGGTTCATTTCCTCTTAAGTGATGCTCCATCTCCAGACACGAGGAGGCAAATGTTTGCTGTGCTTTCCGAGGAACGGCTGCCCCTCCCCCTTCCTTCCCCAAACTTAATGAGTATGGGCTAAGGTTGATTGAGCCGAGCTCCCGGATCTGAGTGACACGGCCCCCTTTCATCTCAGCCAGTCCTGTCTTCCCATCCTTCGCACCTTAGGAAGTAAACACGGTGTCCTTGCCGCCCGAGGACGCCTGTCTGAGCAGCCTCTGCTCCCGGACTTGAGAAAGAAGAGACAGCCAGGCATCCAAAGCAGAAGGACTGCATCTTATTTGCAAATTAGGCACTTAAAGAAGCATTTAGAATGCTCAAAGCATTAATTTTAACAATTAGAACAGGCTGTTGGTTGCTGCCCTAGACTGCACATTGATCTCAGAAATGCCTTTTAGTTCCCTGTTGGAAGACAACGGAGGTTTGTGCTAATGTCAGCCTCAGGCAACTCTTTTTTGCCTTTATCACCAGCTCTGAACTCTGGGTTTCTTATAGGAACAAATGGGGCTGGGCTCAGGTTGGGGAGGAGGCAAACCTGTGGAGGCTGGTTCCTGACCTGAGAGGTGGGTGCCCATGGGGAACATTTCCTGACATGGTCTGAAAGTTGTTCCTTTTATACTATTAGGCTCAGCAAGCATCTTCCCCTGCTTTTCAAGAAAGTTCTTTTTAGATAGAGGACAGGGTCACCAGGTGGTTACCTTGTTCTGGGGACAGATGTTCATTTGCATGTCCCAGTGCTTATTGTCAAGTCAGCCTTCCTATCTTCTTTTCTCAAATGTTGCAGACTCAGTTTTAGGGGTTCTTTCCTCTAGTCCCCAGTTAAGGTTGGCATTGCTTTCTACGGATGGCACTCTCTGCTCTGAGACCTAGGCAGGTGCTTTTCCGGCTCTGGATTTTAGGTAAAACATCAAATCTTACCAATATGACAAATGATGTCCAAGATTACAGATGTAGGATGTACTGGCAACAAGCCAAGGAGTGTTACGTGACTAGGGACCCACTGCAGACAGTGTTGAGAGGCAGCCAAGTGCTGGGGCTCAGTGTAACTTTGGGCAAGTTACTTAACTTCCGTGGACCTCAGTTTCCTCATTTTTAAAGTGAGGGTAATAATAGTACCTACTTCATAGGGTTGTCCAGAGAATTAAATGAGATCATCCATACAAAACACTTAGCCCAGTTCCTGGCACATTACAAGCACTCATTAAATGGTAGAGTATTTTTGGTGAGATTCTGACTAAGAACACTTTTGAAAAGCAGTTATTAATGGTCTGGCAAAAAGGAAGAAAGATTTTGGGTTTCAAAGATTGATAATAACTTGTTCTGTGTGAAAAATACAAAGGCAGTCTTGTCCAATTCTGTTGAAATAAGCATTTCCTCCCTTTTTACAGACAGAGTGTTTCCCAGGACATCTCTGCTTCCCATGTAAGAATCAACATTATGTTATGGGCAGGGAGTGATGTCACTGAACAGATAGGGTCATATAGTACCATAAATTAACGTTGTAGAAAACAGTTAAAGGAGAAAGTGTTATGTGTTAAATTGTGAAGTTGGCAGGGATCTGAGGACTCATCAGGGTCACCCCCTGTCGTTTATACAGATGAGGAAACTGAGAACCAGATGGGATCAGGTCACTTGCAGCACAGCTAGTCGCAGCACCTTGGTCTAACTGGCATTTTGCCCATGGTGTGGGTATTGTTCATCTCAGTACCCTAAGTCTAGTTGAGGTTGACCAGGAAGGTAAATATCTGGTTGTAGCAAGAGGCTCCTACACATTTGGGGCATAAAATGCGTCGAGTAAAGAGAGGGTGCCCACTCATAGGAAGTGTCAGTGGGGCCAATAGGGTGAGGAGGAGCAGGGTGAGGATGCTCTGCCTATGAAGTTTAGGATCTCCTTCTTTCTTCGACCTTGCATGGTGGACACCACACACTGGAAGGTAAAGTGTTTGAGTAATTCACTGGTGTGGGTAGCTGGCAGGACATGCTGTGCTCATGTCGCATATGTTCTGGAAGCCCTCTGCACTGGAGAAGCATGCCTTCTTCCCGCCTCTCCTCCAGTTTTGGCAAATTGCAGAGCAGAGAGGTTTTATGGGATGGGCACGTTAGCTGGAGCTAGCTAATGAGAGGCCTGGGGCCCAAGCAGGAGGGGCTCTGCTGACTCCAGAATGCTGGGAACACACTACAAGGGTTCTCTCAGGACATCCAGCGAAGGGTGTGCTCCTCCCCAGGAAGAGAGGGAGCTGCCTGGACACCGAGGGTCTTGTGCTTTTGGTCTGTTTATGAAATGCAGACATGTGGTCTCCATCGTTTGGATGGCGCTGTCAGCCCCTGGCTTCCTTCCTCTCTGCCAAGCCCCTACTGGGGGTGGGGTCAGGGGAGGGTGGCCAGGCTCCCTGGCATGGAGTTGGGCTCCTCTCTTAACTTTTATGAGCTGCCACTGGGGAGACCTTAGGTAAACTGACTTTGGCCCCAGGCCACTTGTGTCTAAAATGATCCTGATGATGTTGGATGCAAACTGCAGATACCTTCATTTGCAAGCTTTCCACTGGGATACGAGTCCAGGTCCACAGAATTCTTTGCACTCACATGTATGTGTAGGTGTGTGTCAAGTAATGTGTTCATGGAGAGAAGCTTGTTTATCTAAAACAAACACAAAATTATTTGTTTGGATTTCAGAGGCGTTGTGCTTTCACAGTCATTTCCTTTTCTGATTTTTTAAATTCAGACAAATACCAGTCATGAATGTGCTGATCCTTTACAGGACTAGTTAGGGAATGCAACTAATAGCCAGTGTTAGCATTTACCATCGATGGTGCCAGATGCTTAACGTGCATGATTTTATGTGATTCCTGCAGTTCGTTGAATATAGCCTAACATGGGGTTGATTCTTTGATGCCTCTATACAGATGGCTTAACTGAGTCTTAGAGAAGTTAGAGATTGCTCAGGGTGTCCCTGTTAGTTAAGGCAGATCTGGGTAAACTCAGGTCAGTTTACCTCCAAAAAGGCAAATGGGGCTCTTCTTCTCAGCTGGAGTCTGGTTGGAGAGACCAGCCCCAGGCCTGCATAGCAGCTAGAGAGCAATGCAGGATGGTGTTTGAGGACTGCCTCAGTGTGTGGGACATTCGCCTCATGCTATGGAGGTGAGCGTGTGACGGCTCACTGTTGAGGCAAGGGGAGAGAAGCAAATCCAGGATGATATCTGGTCCCCAGTGATACCTGAGGTGATAAATGAAGGATTGACTGTGGAAATAATGCGTTCTCTTGTGTGTTTAGATCATTACAGATTTTTGTCTGGGTCCTGGGAGCTACACTTTTAGGAATTGACCCCAGAACTCTTCTCAGCCCGTCCATTTTTTTCTCTAAGCTCTTAGACTGTGAATCCAGCCCCGTGGGAGGAAGGATGGGCAGCTGCCGCATGGAAAGTGTCTTCTCAGGGCCAATTCCGTTAGGGGATGAGTGGTGTTGGGCAGATCAGGGTTTGAATCCCATCTCTGGCTCTTCCCGGCCGCGCAACCTGGGGCCAGCCACTCTGGGCCTCAGTTTCCTCACCTGTTACCTAAGAGGCCTTTTTGGAAATTGACCTGAGATAATTTTGGGTAAAGCTTCCTCGTAGTACCTGGCCCCCATGACAAGCACTCAACGTAGGCTGGTTTCCATCTGGGGTTTTTGATCACCGAAACACTGAAGCACGTTTGCGACCTGATAGGTGAAACAGAGAGAAGAGAGGAAAGAGTGAGGCAAAAAAAGGAAAGTTCAGCTGTTCGTAGTCTGGTGGGAAATCGGGCTACATGCCCCATGGAAAACACCCAACATACAAGAGAAACAGATAAACAAGGAGCAGCTGTTCAGACCTGGAGGGCTTCCTGGAGCTGATCTAGTGATGGCTTCCTGGTAAGTTGGGAAGGAGAAGGGAAGGAACGTGGGTTGGGGGAGAGGCACAGAGGGGAGCTCCTGGAAAGGGCAAGGTCAAATAGGATCCTGGCCCCAAGGTCAGTGCCGCACATGGGTTAGCACTCTTCCCCCCCCACCCCCCCACTCCCTCTCTCTGTCTCTCTCTCACACACACACACACAGGAACAGTTTCTTCTCCTTCTCTGAGGAGGGAAGTGATCTAGGGGTGATTCACAGGTCTGACAAGGCTCCCTACTTATGGAACAACCAACCACATCCTTCAAGGCCGTTGGAACGGGGAGTACAACCAGCCATTCATCATGGCCCTGTTTAGAGCTGAGTGAGGGTTTGAAGGGGGGGTGGGGGGGGGCGCAAATCAGAATTGGAATCACCGTGTGTGGTGGCAGGCAAACGGGAGGGGAAG